TGGCTCGCAGTCTCCGCTCTAATTCATCCCAAAGGTGTTCTATCGGGTTGAGGTTAGGACTCTGTGCAGGCTTGTCATGTTCCTCCACCATAAACTTGTTCATCCATGTCCTTATGGACCTTGCTTTGTGCATTAGTGTGCAGTCATGTTGGAACAGGAAGTGGCCAACCCCAAACTGTTCTCACAAAGTTGGGAGCATGAAATTGTCCAAAATGTCTTGGTATGCTGATGCCTTAAGAGTTCCCTTCACTGGAACTAAGGGGCCAAGCCCAACCCCTGAAAAACAACCCCACACCATAATCCCCCCTCCACCAAACTTTACACTTGGCACAATGCAGTCAGGCAAGTACCGTTCTCCTGGCAACCGCCAAACCCAGACACGTCCATCGGATTGCCAGACAGAGAAGCGTGATTCGTCACTCCAGAGAACACGTCTCCACTTCTCTAGAGTCCAGTGGCGGCGTGCTTTACACCACTGCATCCGACGCTTTGCATTGCACTTGGTGATGTAGGCTTGGATGCAGCTGCTCGGCCATGGAAACCCATTACATGAAGCTCTCTACGCACTGTTGTTGTGCCAATCTGAAGGCCACACGAAGTTTGGAGGTCTGTAGCTATTGATTCTGCAGGCAGTTGTCAACTTCTGTGCACTGTGTGCTTCAGCATGTGCTGACCCTGCCCTGTCATTTTACGTGGCCTACCACTTCGTGGCTGAGTTGCTTTTGTTGCCAGTTGCTTCCACTTTGTTATAATACCACTAACAGGTGACCATGGAATATTTAGTATGAAGGAAATTTCAAGGATGGACTTATTGCACAGGTGGCACTGGCAACCTGTCACGGCACCACGCTTGAATTCACTGAGCTCCTGAGAGCGACCCATTCTTTCACAAATGTTTGTAGACGCAGTCTGCATGCCTATATATGTGGGTGTGTGTGTGTGTGTGTGTGTGTGTATATATATATATCCTTAAAGTTTAGCCATTTATCCCCAAGTTGGAATGAAATTAGTCTTTTTCTCTTAGCTTAGTTTCAACAGTATGTATTTCTGTAATCCATTCTCAGATGCTAGGAGGTTTATTTCATTACTAGAATCTGGAGATGATAGGTTTAGCAGCTGCAATGAGAAAAGTAGTTAGATCATGAGTTACAGTATATAGTTAAAATTCACAATTTCTTCTGTGAAAGGAATAGATACCTTTTTGCTAGAACTTTATGAAGATAAGTTAGAGAAACAGAATTTACTGTGTCGTTTAAAGAGAAAACACTTTGTCACAAATTACAGTATGTGTTGTGCATGAAAGTAGATTTTGTCCTTCCTGTCTAGATTTATATGTATGCCTTCTAGTTTTCCTACAGTATACAATTTCCCTTTTAAATGATATAGTAGTGTGGAATAAGCAAGTTTTGCATAATTGTTTTTTATTCACACGGGATGTTGTAGCCTTATGGGGAACTGGATGCAAAAGAACATTGTCCGTTTATGTAAATCATATGTAATACATTAGGGAAACATTTAATCCATGAATCTGCAAAAATAGAAACAGCTATGCCGTTATCATCTGCAAAATAAGCGGGTTACATTATGAAAATTACACTATATATAAAATGTCCCTTTATACAACTATATAATAATATGAGGTGAGTGAAAATCACTCATCCTCATAGTTTGAGCCGACATGTGACAATGAAACTATCAAACTTGGCTCAATAGATCGGTAAACTGTGCGAACACATACCGTCGCTCGCTCACTTCTCGATCGTCTCCCTGCAGAGAGCAGTGACTGTCAGTCACAGCTCCCAGTATGGATTCCCCCCCTCCCCGCTCCGATACTCCAGCGCTGACTGGAGGAACGGACGGGGAAGGTACAGCTGGCTCTGCCTCTAGATAGGCAGAGCCAGCTGTCACTCAGCTGGGTGCATCTCCACAGTAATGTCGGGATCCGTCCCGGCTGCCTCAGTATGCGGTATACTGACCTTTGGGTCACGGGAGGATGCTAGCATATGTCCTTCCGTTACCCTTAAAAGAATTATGGGGAAAAACATTTACCCCATAGTTCTCTTTTAAGGATATTTTAAATAATAAAGCCTGCAAGATTTTGGTGTTAAAATATATATTGTGACCTAGATATTGTAAATGCTTTTTGTGGAGAGATGGTAAACAAGATTGTAACCTCCCAATCTTCATTGTATTAACAAAAGGGTATTTTATTGTTTTTGGGGCATTTAAGTACCTTTTTCCCCAACATTATGGGGTTTGATAAAGAGTGGCGCTAATATCGTGCAACATAAAAATTTGCAACTGCCACCATTTTATTCTATAGGGTCTTGGCTTTCAGAAAATATATAATGTTTGGGGGTTTTAATTAACTATCAGGCCTAAATTGTGGAATATAACATGGGTGCAAAAAATGAAAAAAAAGGCCTCAGTCATGAAGGGGTTAATGAGCTGGCTATGCGGGCTGTATATGCAGAGCTACTTCATTTACTAGGATCATTGGGCACCTTTTACTTTTCCCCTTTTTTACTTTAGTTTCCATGGAAAGGGTTAATATACTGAGGAATTAAGTGCTCCGTCACTAGGCGGAATGTTGTGTGCGCACTCCATGCTTTGTATCTGCCGTTAAGCCTGAGGTAGCACATTTCCATCGCTGCTCCTAATTGCAGTAGACTCGCTGTTCACCTCGGTTAGTACTTGCTGTCGCCTATAATGACCTGATCACCTCTGGCCATTTAAACCTTTCCTGCTTAGCAGGCAGTTGATGAGTACCCAAGGTTTTACTTGGTATTCTGAGCGAAGTTGTACCTCCTGCCAAGCAGTGCAACATGGTGGACCCCAAACACAAGTGGAGCAGTCCCACTGTATCAGGTCCCTCTGGCTCACGATTCACTAACTGTAGGATTTCATGGGACAAATTGCAACTTAGATTGCTGACTTAAACTTCCAGCCTCTGTGGTTAATGTCAATGCCTTGCCCTTCAGAATCATTATCGTACCTGCCTGTATCTTTAGTGACATTTGAGCATTTTGCAGCAGATGCTGTATCTGACAAAGAGTTAAAATCCTTGCTGGGTGATATTGTTGCTGAGGATGACCATGGGAAATCGGTTGGAGGAGGTGGGGTTGCCCTGTTCTTACTGACCAACTTGAGAGCTGCTATTCAAGTCGTCAGACTGGTGGATGTCCCTTGGCCAATGCATTGCTGTGTCTCAAATTATCCTCCAAACAGTACATTGGGCCCCACCGTCGGCTAGCAAACACCACTGGCTGTGTTTCATAGTTACTACCACGTGACCGGTTACCTTAGTCAGATCAGTATTGCAGTTAAATGCAGATAGATAGCCGCAGCTGAGGTATATCTGAATGCCTAATGTGATTCCATTGTATACACAGTTATTTGCTATTGTCTCTCCTGTTCATATCTCTATTACGTTAGTACATAATTCTGGCAAAGCTTTTTATAAAACCCTACAAGGTGTGCTGTGGATCCATCACAAGTGGTTCATCAGAGGTGAGACAAAAGTACCCGAGTTATTCTGGCTGCTCCTTCGGGGGTGAGCGCTACACTACATTTAACTATTTTAGCTTTGATGTGATGCAATTTTTTTTAGCCCTCAGATGAGTGAGCAGGATGAGGTATACGATCTACAACGACAAAAGCCCTTTACTCTCACGGTGCGGCTTCTATTCTAGATTGAGATGGATATCCAGCTTTGACTGGGAATGATGCAGGGTCTGATTTGTTTTTTAACAGTGACCAATAAGGAGCTTCTAGGTCAGTGGGGCTCTGTCCTTTTGATTGGCCCCTTTTCAAGCTTAATCCTGCTCACTCATGGAGCAAGCTATGGCTCTGAAGAAGCGGGTGTGCGCCAGAAACGCATCAGCCTGAGCCTACAGAGGTCACTGCCGACAACGATGTGATAGGCGGTTGTTTTGAATCTTGCCAGTGAGGAGAGTTTCCTGTGATTGCTATTGTGATGCGCCTGCAGGCTGCTGTGCATCCACACTTTGTAGACAGTACATTCAGTTTATGAGTTTTAATATCTCAGTAAATGTTCTACACTTGAAAAGGGGCTCTCTGTGTTTTTATGTTTCCACATGTGATGAGGAATTCCCTGACTTTTTGAGGAGCCCCAGAGAGTGTGGAGAGGCTATCACTGCTGGAAGACGCCGGAGATTACTACTAGATAGAGACGTTTTGTTTGCTGTGTTGCCCTCCCCTCAGTTGGACTTCTCTTGGACGACTCAAATGTCTCTGAAACCTGTGTCCCGCAATAAATAAGAAGAATAGGAATTTCTATTCACCATAAAATCCTTTTTTTGGAGTTCATTAAGGGATACAGGTCCAACCCCTCTGTGCTTCTAGTCTTGTTCTTGCCACTGCTTTGTTCAAAAAAACTGAAGCATGCAGGTCACTGTTTTTTTTCTTTGCTTGTTTGCCACTGTCAATATCCTCCTAGAAGCAGCAATATAACCCAAATATCACTGGATCCTTTGCCCCTCAATGAACTCCAATAAAAGAATGGTGCGGTTAATAAAAAAATCCTATAATTTTGGATATTCTGTGTACTTCTTAGCGTTCCTTTTTATTTCTCCGCAACCTGCTGTAACAGTAACTGTTTACTAACTATAACAGGCAATAACTGCATTTAGTTTCTGTCTTTATTTTTTTTTTTCTTCTATGGGAGTCCATTTTCTTTGCTTATAGACTGATATGGTTAAAACATTGCAATCCTATGTAACATCCCCGACCTGCTGTCTCCCTAAATCTTTTAATCGTTAGATGCTGAAGAAGTTCTGAAATACTTTCCTTTTTGGTAAAAATGCTCCCCTGAGCTAGTGATATGACCTGATGCCTAATCTATAGATAACAAGATTAGTCATTCTGGGAGGCCAGATTAACTTTCTTTCTTTATTTGCAAGGTGTGTAAATAGTTTGTTTATTGACTTATGACTATAGTTTCCATGCCCTTATATTATGTGAAATCTTTCTTTCCTCAGGTTGAACACCAGTATTCTCATAGATTTACCGTAACTGTAATAAAAGCTACCAATGTCACTAAAGGAACCTTTGGAGATATGCGTAAGTAACCTATTTTTCCTTTTATTTATGTAATTTCCCTTGATTATACTCCATTGCTTGGATTATAAGGAATTGTTTTTTTACGCCTAGAAAACTATAGTAAAGATAATAATAATTCTGCATTAGCAGTGATTATAGAAACTGGTCAATAATCTTTCTTTTGAACTTGTATTATCACATTAAATATTGTGATCATAACTTGTTATATTTCTGTTCTGCTCTTACTGTACAACTACCATGCAAAGATGGGGGGGAAGCATTCATATTGTGTGATTGGTTGTTAGTGATTTAGTAACAATCTGCTAATTCTATGGAAATATCTAGCACATGCCACTGCAGGTGAATAGCACTTCACATGCCCTGAATATTAATATAAAAGTCTATCCTGCAGGTGCAAAAAAGCTAAGTAACCTGGTAAGTACAGGCAGTCCCCGAGTTACAAACGGAGGCTTTTACTGTACAACAGGGGTAGTTGTAATGCTACCGCGCTCGTGCCAATGAGGGGTGCCCACCTTTTTGGGTCTGGTTCATAGTACTTACGTACATTACAGGAAGTTGGCTCTTAGATGTGCAGATGAGGGGTGCCCACCTCTTCTTCCGGGTTACTGTGAGGTTTTTGTTTTATGTGGTGAAATAATGACAGTACAAGCCATTAGTGTACGGAAGTCATGTGCTTAGAAGAGAACCCACAGAACAGAACAGGAAACGGATCACAGGAAACAAGTGCCATAGAGATGAATCATAGAGTTGCATATAAACTAAACATAACACTCATAACATCTCCCTCTTTTAATATTAATGAATGATCATTGTGAAATTTGGATGAATTCTTGTAATAACACATTTACAGGTTAAGTCTTTTAGGTGGTTGTGAATGTCTACCACTACGGGTGAAGACTGGCCCTCGTTGTATAAAGAGTTTCTTAGCCCTCTCGGAGGTTACTGGGCTCTTCTCACCACTTACTGGCATGCTCTACTCTTCACTCCCATCCGATATACCTGCTTGCCCCGGACTGTCATTAATATTAGTCTGTGGCATCACCTCTGTACATTCCTTACTGGAAATGGGTGAGTTTTGCCTTTGCATTACTAGGCTGGCCTGTCAACTGGATAATGTGAATCCGGCTTTTCAGCCACACGCAGATTCACACGATTGCGACAATAGAGAGTTCCGTCAATGTCCACAAGATAGGAGCGTGGTGCAACCTTTCGCAGACAAGTACCCTTTCTCCAACGATTTGTTCAGTCCCCAGGCAGTGGTTTCATACGGATTCGTTCCCCAATATTCAAATCAGGCAAATCTCTTTCAGATGTGTCCTATTGTGCCATGAACATTTGCCTCTTAAGTCGTAACTTTTCCGGTACCCCTTGTATCACAGAGGGTTCAAGTAGCTTGTTGGCTATAGGTAAGGAGGTCTTTAATCTTCGTGACATCAGTCTCTGTGCTTGGCTACTATCCATGCCCACAGTTGGAGTGATCTTCCAATGTAAGATGGCCTTCCACTGGTCTTTACCATCAATTTGTGCTTTCTTGCATACATTTTTAACAATCTTCACCGCAGATTCAGCTTTGCCGTTAGCCTGTGGATGATGTGGAGAGGAAGTTACATGCTCAAACTCCCATTCAAAGGCAAATTTTCTGAATTGCAAGCTTGAGAACTAAGGGCCATTATCAGAAATCACTTTATATGGTTGGCCATGATGTGCAAACTGTGCCTTGCACCTCTTAACTGTAGTTTCAGTGGATAAGTCATGAAGAAGGTCAATTTCCCAGAAGTCTGAGTAATGATCAACTAATATCAGGTACTCTTTTCCTGCATAGTTGAATAAGTCTATACTGACAATCTGCCAAGGACCAAGAGGTATCTCATGTGACATCATGGTCTCTTCTTGTTGCAAGTGTGCATATTCATTGCAGGTGGGACAATTGCTGACAAAATTTTTGATTTCACCTTGCATATTAGGCCAGTAAAGAGTATCGCGACCTTGTCTGTAGCATGCCTCACCCCCGATGTGGCTTGAGTGAATGCGTAATAACATTTCTGCTTTCAGTGACTTTGGCACTATAACTCTTGGGCCTTTGTACAAGATACCATTTTTGTACGCTGATCTCATCTCTGAAGGACTAATACTCCTTCACAATTGCAGGTGCTGCATCCTTGTCATCAGGCCACCCACTCAGAACAATAGACTTCAGCGCTTGTAAAGTTTCGTCTCTGTCTGTGTGCTGTAGAAGCTGATGTAGCCGCTGATCTGTGACGATAAGATAGTCTGCTTGATTGACTTCAGCAAAGAAATGTGGTTCCTGTAGCAGCAAACAAACTGTATGATGCTCATGCTCACTTCTGGGTGTCACATGATTCGTAGTAGCTCTACTCAGGGTATCACTGATGTACATTTCCCTTCCTGGCTTATAGACAACATTGAGTTTGTAATGCTGCAATGTAAGCATCATGCTCTGCAAATGCTTGGGAGCACACAAAAGGGGCTTTTTAAATATGGCTATTAGTGGTTTGTGTTCTGTTTCAGCTGTGATTGTATCCCGGCCATAAAGATAGTGATGGAAACGCTGGCAGGCAAACACAATGCTTAAACATTCTTTTTCAATTCGAGCATAATTTTGCTCAGCTGACGAAAGAGCTCTGGACGCATATGCAACTGGCTGCTCATCTTGCAATAGACAACATCCTAGGCCATTTTTGCTTGAATCACTTTGTATGGTAACAGACTTTGTGACATCATAATATTTCAACACCAGAGCGGCGGTGACAAATTGTTTTATTTTCTCCACTGCCTGGTCATGTTTGGGAAGCCAGTGCCAAACTACACACACCTCAGACAAGTGTGGCATGAATATAGCTAGATATGTGACAAAGCCAATAAAACGCTGTAATGCTTTTCGGCAGGTTCTGGCATGTCCACAATGGCTCTAATCTTATCAGGGTCTGCTTTTAAGCCTTGTGAGGAGAGGAAATGTCCATGGAAATGGACTTCTTGCACCTTGAACTGCAATTTCTTTACGCTGAGTCTCAGCCTCACCTGCCTGCAACGATCCAGTAGTGCTATTAGCTTCTCATCATGGTCATGCGCAGCTTCTTTATCTGTATCACCACAGCCAACTATGAGAATGTCATCGGCTATTGGCTCAATACCATGGAGCCTACATAATAGTTAATGCTGCTTCCGCTGATATACCTCTGGTGCTACAGAGACTCCAAATGGCAGTTTGAGCCATCTTTTTCTGCCCCAAGGAGTCCAGAATGTGGTCATGTAGCTACTCTTTTCATCTAGTTTGCACTGCAAAAAGGCATCTCTAGCATCAACAAGGGTAAAAACCTGTGCTTTGGGTAGTATGTGCAAAATGTCGGCAAGTGTTGGCATTAAGTAGTGTGACCGCCCCCGGGCCATATTCAAAAACTTGGGTTCGATGCAAATTCTGATCTTCTCAGGCTTCCTAATAACTATCATGTTGCTTATCCAATCTGTAGGCTCTGATACTGAATTAAGATGCCCTTCAGCTTCGCACTTATCCAGTTGCGCTTTGACCTGCGGCTTAATGGCTACTGGCACATTGCATGGGAAACATTATACTGGTGGAATGGTAGGGTCAAGTTCAAAATGAACCGGAACAGATACTATGGGGCCATCAAACACATCACTATAGACTTTGAGGATTTGCTGTTTTGTCAGTGGCCTTGTCAAGGATTTCGCAGACTGATTATCGACATTATGTAGCTCAGCAGGAAGAGTGAACTGCATCAGACCCAGGTGCTCATATGTTGAATCAGACAGTAGCGGTTTCTGATTGTCTTCCACAATCTCAAATTCAAGTTTGTGCATATGTCCACGTATGCAGCATTCTGTTCAGAAACGTCCCAATGATTCCATTAGTTCGCCTGAATATAATTTCAGTTCGGTGCCACTAGGCTGAAGAGGTGCCCTAGGTGCCAGCTTCATTTTGTCTTTTAAACGCATGACATTACATGTTGCACCCGAGTCCAGCTGGCAGGGTTGGCATATATTATTTAGTCTGAGATTTACAAACCATTTTTGGCCTTCAGATTGTACAGCACCAATGCATTCCTTCGTGTAAACCACATCAGTGCTAAGCAAGTGTGAATTCTCAAGATCTGACCTGTGCTCAATTGTGTGCAGTTTCCTTGCTGCTCTTTTACTAGACAAACACACAAAATGATTTAATCTACCACATGCTCTACAACTTTTCCCATATGCAGGGCACTGTTCTTTCTCTCGTATATGCACATTGCCACAGTACTTGCATGATGCAGACGTGCTCCCAGGTGAGTTGCGTTACGCAACTTGCGTAGGTGATTTTTGTGCTGAAGCTTGTGCTGGTGGTTCTTCAAGCTTGGCTGTTGCTTGGAGGCTGCATTAATACTGCTCTATAGCTCTCATATGTTTGTCAGTAAGCTCTGCAGTACGACATATCTCAATTGCTGCTTGTAGGTTTAAATCATGTTTTCTCAATAGGCATCGGTGTGTGCTTTCACTAGTGATACCTAGAACTATTTTGTCAAGAATAAGTTCATCTCTCAGAGACCCATAGTCACAGCTTGCAGCTTTTTCTCTTAGCCGTGTGACAAAGTTATCTATTGTTTCACCTTCTTCTTGCTTGCAGCTGCCAAATATATATCTTTCATATATGACATGTTTAGAAGGTCTGAAAAAAGCTTCTGATGCATCCAGGATGGCTTTAGTGTCACTCTTCTGCTCCTCTGTGAGTTTCAGAATATGCTTGTAAACATGAAGGCATTCACTGCCCATCACTCTCCTTAGTGTAGCTGCTTGCACTGCTGGCAGCTTCTCATGTAATCCTGTGGCTAGGGAGTAATCCTCAAACTCAGCTCTGAAGTTTTCCCAGTTACTGCCGCAATCCCCACTCACCCTCATTGTCTCAGGTAGTGGAATGCTGTGTGCAGCTGCCATGATGCTGGTTTTCTTGCTTCCAATGCTCCGTTTTCAGGACAGGACTGCGATTGCTAAAGGAGGCACAGTCAGCTCTAAGGCCTCTCACTGCAAGACTGGCAAGCTTTCAGCGTACATTGAGTAGAAGCAGCGCAAATTCAAGTACTTCTGACACCATGTTTTATGTGGTGAAATAATGACCGTACACGCCATTAGTGTACAGAAGTCACAGGGATCTCAAGTCTCCCTGATGTTCAGGGAGTCTCCCTCAATTAGACAGCGGCTCCCTGACGTCCGCGAGAGAGGCATTTTCTCCCTGAAAGGTTTACTCTGAGTAAACCTTTCGCTTGGCTCTGTCTCAGAAGGAAGAAGCTACTTGCTGCACAGAGAGGGCGGACATAGACTACTATTGAGAGCAGGTAGAGGCACTGCTGCAGGGTTGAGAGAGTGCTGTTAACCCTTTGTGGATAATATAGAATCAATTATATGTCCTGGTTGTCTAGTTATAGAGAACATTTATTTCATTTGCTGCCCATAGCAACTAGTCAACTGTGTATCAGGGACATTACTCCTCAGCGTTTTTTATATATATATTAATTATCATTATTATTTCTTTTATATTCTGACGACGGCCGCTGTAAAAAAA